TGGAGATGGTAGAGGTTTTGCACCAGACAATAGAAATCCATGTAGACTCATTTGCACTTGGGTGGATGGCTCGTTGTGAACCTTTTGAGGTCACCTTTCAATAGCAGTTGACTACCATCACTCTGCTGGAGGGAGAGGTCACGCCGCTGCTAGGTTCCCCGAATGACGTCTGAACTGAGATGGGTTCCATCTGCGGTTCGGTATTTCTGAGTCAATTATAATATGAGGTCGGCCATATCGAGCATATTAGGCTTAGTGGAGAGGGCTTCCTTTGTGTTCAGAGTTCTGAGGCTTTAAGTTCCTTTGGGCAGTTTTATGTACACAAGGGAAGGTAGTGGTGAAGAGAGTAGGCCGAGATGGATTTCCTGCAAAACTTTTGTCTGGTCCAACCAACCTCTTCGTCGTGACGGAGCTCTAAGTAGAGGGGCGTGCTTGCCTTTAAATGAAAATGTACTCTCTCCTTAGGTGTGTCATTTGTTACTCATAATATGAACCAACTATCCCTTTCGAGGGTTAGTTTCAGTCTAAAGAGTTGTAAAGTATGTATATCGTACCTCCCATAGGAAGATGTTTTGTAGCTTTTAATTGAAATGAATAAAAACCGCTTTTTATTCTTTTCATACTCCATTTCTGTCTCATCTTATTCTTTCTTCATCGTGGTTATGTTGTTATTTTACTGTTATCGATCGGTCGGCAATGCCTTTCATATAGCCTTGCTTCGGTTCGATGAAAGTTTGATAGATAAAGGTGAAGACTCGCTAGATTTTAAGTCGAACCGAGTTCCCCGAGTATCTTCGGAGCCTGAGGCATTAGACATGAATTAATTTATTTTTTATTCTATTGATGAAAAATTAAAATAAACAACTACACTTCCCTTTGGTTGCATAAGAAATAAATTCAGAAAACAAAGAATTTTTCTAGGAAAAAAACTTCTTAAAGTCGTCTACTCTCCAAGTCCGTGGAAGTTTTTTTTTTGTGTATGTTTTCAATCAATATGCCCCAAGCAAGACACGTTGACAGACAATATAAGGTCCGCTACATGTCCGATCTAACTTACCGATCACCTATCCATGAGCTTTTAGATCTTCCTTCTTTAGGACTAGATCTTCCAGAGTGAAGGCCTGCTCTCGGACATATTTGTTGAACTAGCGAGCATTTCACCTCTTAATCTTCATGTCAGAGTGCTGATTTGGCTCATGCTTCCTCGGCGAGGTCAAAGGCTAGCATCCCCCTCCCCTCGATGTTGGCATGCTGACACTTGATCTATTCGTCTCCAACAAACGAGGAGGTTTGATGACCTTTGGTTGTGATGATCATATTCAACCAGTAGCACAACTTCCATTACATGGGTTAACATGAATGAAGATTGTCTGGTCGCCGAAGAAGGCATCGTTTGGATCAGCCAAAACACCGATGATAGCAGGTCTGCCCAGTTTCCCTTGGTTACTTTGACTTTATTTCGAAACAGGTTTAGAATAAGCTTGTTAGTTGCCTTAGCATACCCATTCGTCCTAGGGTGATGAACTGAGACAAACTTCATATAAGTGCCCTATTTTGTATGGAATTCTTTTACCCGTCGATCCAAAAATTGGGTCCCATTGTCTGTGATAAGCTTGGGCGGCAGCCCATATCTGCAGATTAGGTCAAAACATATGAAATTCATGACTACCTCGGTGTAGATCTCAGCAAGGGCCTTTGCTTCAACCCATTTTGAAAAAAATAGTCAACCGCTACAAAGAGGTACTTTCTTTGGCCTCTTGATGAGGGAAAGGGGTCCGATAATGTCAAGGCCCCACCTTGCAAACGAGAAAGGGCTGACTATCAGTTCAGCCAAAGTTCTGATAGTTGATTGGATCCTCTATTGGACCGACCGAGAGTAGGGGTTAATGTTCAGCCGGTGCGGTCCAACCAAACACTTCTCGATGCTCCCGAAGTTCCTGTACCAGTTGTTTTTTAAATCCTGTGTCAAAACATTCACTCATTATAAAAAATTTAACGGGTTCTTCATCGAACACTTACACCTTGGGGACGACCTCACTGGTCTCGAGACCATCCTGCCTCTGGATCTGGATGTCGTGTGGTTCATAGCCGATGCTTGAAGCTACTCGTAAATAGTAATTTCTTGACTCCTCCAAGTTTCCCCGGACCGTAGATACTCTCCCGTTGCCTGGGAACTTTATGACTACAAACTAAGTAGAAGCTACAGCCCTGTAGCTGCTCAGAAGTGGCTGACCAAATATAATGTTGTAGGTCGATGGTGATTCTCTGTGCAGTTATACTACTTTCCTGATTTCCCAAAGTGATGACGAGAGTGATAAGGCCTAACACCTCCTTTCTTTCCCCTTAGATTATGAAAAATGGGTCGGTTGGTGTTGTTAAACGATCGTCCTTCCGATCATGTCGAACACTAATTTGAACAAGATATTCACCAAAATTCTTGTATCAACAAGAATACTAACCACCTGGTCATTGTTAATTAGTGCGGTGACGGATATCACCTTATTGTAGGGTTCCCTTTTGTTGGGAGATCTGTATCTGTAAAGACAATGGCTATGTGGTTACGTCTGTATAGGACGACAAATCATACCTTTTCCAAATATTGACTCTTTAGACCAAATGGTCGGGGACCTCTCCTGAAGATCGTGGGGATTATCCCTGCTTTAAAGACCTTGTTTGCTCTGACAAGCCCATTGGAGGGATCCCTTATTGGTGTTTTACCATGCCTTTATGTGTGTGTGAGCCGATCTCTACAAATTCTTTAAACTTTCCCAAGCGAATGAGTTCCTTGATTAGGTTCCAGAGGTGATGACACTCCTATGTGTCATGTCAATGATGACTATCAAACTGTTAATACCTTTCCAGATCTCGTGAGGTCGGTGATGCCTTTAGTGGTAGGGATGGTTTGAAGTAGTCCTTATTTTGTATGGTCTGGACTATTTCAGCCATCAACACATTAAAGGGAGTCAAATGTTGCATCTCCCTATAATCATGCAGTTGCTCATAATATTAAGTCAACCGTTGATTGGAGTGGTGTTTTCGGTCACGGTTGCCTCAATCATTTCTCCACTAATTTCGGGATTGAGAGTTTTTGTTTTGGTGCCCGATGGACTGATTGTCCTTTTCCCGTTGAGGAGCTTTGGAGATCTTCTATAAGTATGTGCTTGCTCGTCATCTCCAATACTTCTACGAAAGTAGTTAGTTTAAACAGATTTAGGTCATACTTGAATCATTTTCTTCGAACTCCTTGCTTCAAGGTTGTTCCGGCTATTTCTAGCTTCATATTTCTAACTTCCAACATCTCATTCTAGAAGTGGGTGATGTAGACTGTAGGCTCTCATTTTCTTTCTGCTTGAGGTTGAGCAGGGCGTCCGAGTTTTTTCTTGGACTCTACGCATTTAAGAAGTGTGAAACGAAGTCTTTTAAACTCGTATTAACTTGGAATGGTTTTGATCGGTTGGCTGTTGAACAACCAAAGGGTCGACCTTTGTAGGGTGGTTAAAAAGAGACGATACATTATTGGGTCATCAATCTAAAGCAGATCATCAGATGATTTGAACGATGCAACGTGGTGAATTGGGTCGGTTCTTCCTTTGTATGAATCCAAGCGAGGAATCCTCAACATGGATGAAGTTATCTTCTCTTTTATCTAACGAGTAAAGGACCTCCTACGAGCAATCAGACAGACACTCACATTGGTTCATCCCATCACCTATTCGCCTGCGCAGAGGCGGTTATTTCAGTGTGTTGGGGCTCTCCTTGTCTTTTTGTCGACCGGTTGCTGACTTGGTTGTGCAGGATAGGCAGGTTCCCTGCTGGCAGCCTTTGGGAACGAATCCTTTGGGGTTTCGCTTCCAGGCGAGGTGTCTGGTCGTTCCTCTGGGTGATTGCTGCCCGAAGGACCTCGAATCACTCCATCATGAGAGTCATCTAGGCTTGCAGCCTCTGGACTTGCGCGTGAGTGTCTGGTTGTGTAGTGTGTTTGTTGGGTTCCATGCGTGCTTTCTCTCTTTGAGAATATTCTTCTTCGTAGTTAGCTCCACTTGTTGTCTTGGGCATGTCTACGTCCATCGCACCACCTTTTAGGTTGTTAGATCCTGGATTGTCTTTTTGTGAACACATCTGAAGAATTAAGAGTTGAGTGAAAGTGAGAACAAAGTAAATCAAGAGCTAGTGTAGAGGGAACCAAGAGAGTCCAAATGGTCTGTGTTCCTTTGGTTATCATTTTGTCTTATTTATAAGAATGTATTTGGTATAATTACATAAATGAGGGAACAATTATGAAAATTATGTTTGATATGATTAATACTCAAATAAATCACAAAAATTTCATTCCATATCTGTTTCACATTTTGAATTTTGTTATTACGGTAATTGGTTGGTCGATTCTCTAGAATGCGGCTGCGTGAGGCGATCGACCGGGTTACGATTCTGCCTTATTTTTGGTTGACTGAGGCGTTTAATCGAATGACGATCTTGTCCTCCGCGGTAAGAATATGTCGGTCATCCAATCACGATCAGGGCTTTCCGCTTGCGCTTCTGTCGGTTAGTTGGTTGAGTGATGAATCAATTTGTTTTTGTCGGGTGAATCGTGAGTTGTCACTTTGGCTCAAGTCTTATGGGTCCCACGTCTCGTCTATCTGGTCAATTCGTCGTATCTATCTGGTAAATTCTTTGCGTCATCCGGATTACTCTTATTTGCGAGGTGTTAGACGAATTTTGTCGTTGTCTGTGTGAGGTATCCAATAAGATTTGCTGTTATGATGAATTACGCCTTGCCCTTGGAGGATCTTGTCGTAATTGGGCAAGACACCATCTCCAGGGCTTTGACCTGTCTCCGGTTTAGAAAAAATGTTTCACCTGCTTTGCGATGACTTGTTAGTCGATTGCTTACCTTTGAGGGACACTTTTTATTTTTAGTTGTTTGTTTCTTTTGATATTTGCACCGATAATTCTAGTGAATACATTATGAGATACTCTAAAGTCTCACCCAAACAAATTTAGTCAACAAAGACACATATAACTCAGCAAATTTGACCCAAGAATCTCTCCCATCTCCTCTCCTCTCCTCTCCTCTCCCTTCACTTCCTCCTTATCTGTCGATCTCCAACACCAGCACCCTTATCACCTTCTCTGCTTTCTCTCCCACGCTCCTCCAGGCCATGGAAACAGAGAGGCCATACAATTCACCAGCCACGCCGGAATCAACACCTACATCACCTCCTCCTCCTCCTTCCTTAAACTCCTCCCCATCCCATGAATTCTCCTTTACCATCTCTCTCCACCCTCCCACCTCTCTCTCATCCAACTCTACCCCTCCTTTCAAGCTCACCAAACCCACCACTCCTATCCCGCAACTCGACCTCTCCCCCGCCGACGATATCTTCTTTCACGGCCACCTCCTTCCCCTCCAACTCCTCTCCCACCGCCCCTCCAACGCCTCCATCGAAACAGAGCACAGACTAAGCAAAACACCAGAGAACAAACCACAGAGCGCAAAAAGTCTCTTTGAAGGCGGCGCCTTCCCTTCCTCCAACGAAGAAGAACCAAAAGAACGCAGAAAGACAAAACCTTTCTCCCCCTTCTTCGCCCTCCGAAAATGGCTAAGAGGAAACGAGGACAGAGAAGCAGAAAAACAGAGAAAAAAGAAGAAGATGAAGTTGTTCGGCAGATTATGGAAGAAATATACGAGCTTGATGGAACCGCTTCTCTTCTTCAAGGTGATTAAGGAGAAGCGAGAATTGCGACGGAGTTCGTACTCCTTCTCGGGCAACTGCAATCCGCGGGACGGCGGTTGGCGGCGGCGTTGGAGAGGGGATTTCTCTGCTCCGGCGTCGATGCGCACATCACCGGCGAACAGCGGGCTTCTTGTAGCGCCGACGAGTACGCTTTCTTCTTCCGATGAGAGCACTATGGAGGAGTTGCAGAATGCCATTCAAGCTGCTATCGCGCACTGTAAGAGCTCTGCGGCTGTGAAGGAGGATAAGTGTATGCATTAACTTTTAAGTGCATTAAACCATGCGTTAAGCACTTTAAACATTAATCAATGTTTAAGAAAGATTAAGTTTTTTCAATAATTAATTGTATATTAATCGCTTAATATTTTTTTCTTTTTTAAATGGCATAGAGCTTTGAAGTGGGTGTTGTGAATTGTCTAATATAAATTTAATTTGATTATATATATATATATATATATAATATATTGCATATCTGTATATATATATATATATATATTAAAGTTAAAATAGTGATATTTGTTAGGTGCTATTAAAGATTTAGGTGATGTTATACATAAATGTAAGAAACCGAAGTTTAGGTGTTAGATATGCAAATACATAAGAATTGGGTGGCATGTATATAAATGAACCTAAAATTTAATACCTTCTTAAAATGAATGAATATAGGCACATATGTAAATCATGTATATGCACACATTTTGATGCCATCACCATCTATCTCAATTTAGCTTACAAATATTTACATGCATACCACTCAATTCTTATGTATGTATATATAATACCTAAATTTCAATTTTTACATATATTTACCACTTTACATATGCATGAAAAAGAAGTATTTCGGTTTTTAAAAGTTAAGCTAGTTGTATTTCTTACGAGTTATGAAAGATTTAATTGGTATAAATGTTAAAAGTATAGTTTAGAGGTTAGATATGTAAAAGCGTAAAAATTGGGTGGTATGTATGTAAATGGCCCTTTAATTTAAAGTTTTCTATATTGCAATTTAACCTGAATCATCAATCTTTTGCCTTCATTAAAATTTAAATGTGATTTAATTTTGGTAAAAGTTGTATGCATGTTGGGTCAATTTATCAGACTTAGTAAGGAATTAATGAATTGGGATAGTTATTTAGGGTTGACGGCCGTGAGAAGGATAGCACGTGAAATCACTTCAGATGGAAATTCATTGCAGTTGGAATATTTATTTGAATGGGCTAGATACCCCTATAAAATAAGTGAAGCCCATTTTCTCGCTTGGGCTAGGAGCTCCTTATATCTGGTTAAAGCCACATTCTTGGGCTGGGCTATTAAAATCTTGTGTTGGGCTATAGCCTGGGGAAAAATATTTGTTTGTTTAATTGTTTTTAAAAAGAGGTTTGAAGTAATTTCGAGAAAATATTAAGAGCTCCATTATCAAGAAATTAGTATTAGTTGGTGGGTTAGAATTAGATTATTAATTGATTTTTCAATAATTTAGATTAGTGAAAATAACACATGTGCATGAATAATTAAAGTGATATATATATATATCACATAATTCATAAAAAAATTATCAACTTTGGGCTAATAGGTCTTATAATTTTAAACTCATTTCAACATAAATCAGAGCTTCAGGAGTTTAGACTCGATGATTTGTCCACCTTTAATGGCCTATTCAATTGAAAATTAAGAAAACTTAAAAAAATCAAATCATAATATTCCGATGGAAATTTTAATCAGAATAACTAATAAAATTATAATTTAATTTTTAGACATAAGTAATATATGAATAATTATATAAAATTTATATAACATTCATATTGAAATAAATTAAGAATTATTGATGGCCTATATATATGATCACAATTTTAGTCTGGATATTATGATCCCTTTTTCTTAGTATCATGCAATTTAAAATTTTGGGTCATTAAGTTCTAATTTCTTCCGAAAGTACGTGACATAAAGCTTTGTATTGCTTGTAACAAATTGCAAAAATAAATTAATGAAAGAAATGCAAAAATAAATTAATGAAAGAAATGAACGGGCCCACTATTTTTTAGCTGCCATTGGTTTCTTCCCTGGGTGCCGATAAATATTAGCTGCAGAAGAAAACCACGCAGGTCAATTCTGAGTCAGCTCATTATGCCCGAAATGACAAGACGACCAAACGTTTCGTTTATAAATCTGACGATTAAAAACCCGCCACTTGTCGGTCGTTTGTCCGTGCTAACTCAGCGCCAACCGCTGATTACGACCCTACCTCCGTGGAATCGTTGACAGGAAAATAACCTTTCAACCGCCCAATCATGAACTCCGAATAATAAAATTTGAGATCGAAGAACAGTTTATAATTATTATTATTATTTATTTATTTATTTATCCCCAAGAATCCAACTCTAAAAGCTTAATCAATATTCAAATTTTATATAAAATTATATAAACATTTAGATATGAATCTAAATTAGAGAGAAAAATCTTCAACCAGGAGTAAATGAGGAGAGTGAACTCACAAAAGCTTATAAAATCACGAGCTTTATAGCTCATCCTAGCTCATTAAACCTACCAAGCATCCATCTCAATGTATTTTTTCATGCTCAGATTAATAACATAACATACATAGTGCATGATATTTTTTAATTAAATTCGTTCAAATTCCTAACAACAACAACAACAACAACAAAGCCTTAATCCCACTACTTGGGGTCGGCTACATGAATCCTTTCTCCATTGCGTCCGATTTAGTGTCATATTTTCATTTAATTCTAGTAAATTAAAATCATTTTTAATACAATAAGCCCAACTCTTCGCCTTTCTTAACACAAGTCGAATCTAAAACATCTACTCTCCTGATTGAATCATCAGATGATCGACATTTAATGTGACCAAAACATCTAAATTCATTCAAATTCCTAAAAAAATAATAAAAAAAAATTGTAATTGTTTTCATGCAAGCATTTCGTAAAATTCCACGGATGTTTACAAAAGCAGGAACTCTATGAAAAAAGTAGTTTTTCTAAGTCTTCTGAAAAAAAAAATGAATTATTTCAACTAAATTGTTATAAATCTTACTTTATTAGATGCCGTAAGCTGCCATTATTGAAGTCACCAACCATTTAAGCAGCACATCAGCTGAATAACTGTTGAGCCTTGGAAATATTATTCAGCCTGATGATATTGATTCTGCAAAATTACTACTAAGAATACAATAGATCTGTTAAGACTACGGTCCATATTGCATTATTCCCAGGTTGATGAGAAAATATATGGACAAAAAATTTAAATAAAATCATCTGATGAGTTTGAGACAGAACTCTTTGTAAATACAGGTTGAGGGAACGTTGGGGTTTTAGGGAATTTAGAGAATCCTTTGATAATAGGTACACCCAACGGTCGAGGAGTATTTCTGCGTTGTTTTACATTGAATTCTGACTCTTCTGCGTTAGGTGGAATCTCATTATTAGCTTCAATGGCTGCTGACCTCACTGTTGATTCCACCGGCACAAGTTTACCATCCACTTGGTTGGTAAATACGAAGGTAACCTGTAGTATAGAAATAAGTCAGGATGCAAAAAGTATTAATATCTAAATGGAAAAGAAGAAAAGCGTATTTACATAAATACCACTCAATTCCTATGTATTTACATATATAACACCTAAACCTTTTCATCCATGGGTAAGATGGCATATATGTAAAAAATTGAAGTTTAGGATAGATAAGAATTGAGTCGTATGTGTGTAAATCTTCTAAAAAACTATAAAGAGGCACTCGAGCCAACTGCTGTTATATTCAAATTTATTTGTTTATTTCTTACAGAATTACAACCGATCTTAAATTAAAGCATTTAGAATTCATTATTGCCTAGCGTACTAACAAGTGAAAAATATTTTGTATTTGTAATTGTTATGCAGAAGCTGCAAAGTTTAAGATGAGAAACCAAAAAACACACGGGAACACAAAAATTTAACTTGGTTTAGCAATTCGCTTAGATCCGTAGTGTTATAATAAAGTTGAAGAAAGATGCACTGAAAAACAGTTCTCAGGATCATCAAACAAACAAAAGATTCTACAAGCTTAAAGAGTTGCCTGTGAGATGCTTGAAATTTAATGATGACATAGGTTATAATATAGAAAGCAGTTCATCTTAATATTAACAATCAACGATCATTGAAAATTTTGTAGTCTAAAACCGAAGTAATCTTGTTGATGCAAAGATAAGTATAAATACCCATTACAGAATCTACTAGTAAGAAAACAAATAAAAACATAATAAAAAAAACAAAGTAATAAAAATAAATCAGAGCAATTAATATAGAATCTTGCATATTAATACTCTAATATTTAAATACTCCCCCTCAAGTTGAAGCATAGATATCAGTCATGTTCAAGTTGGATTTAAAATCAGCAAACAATGGCCGATGAAGATTCTTTATGAAAATATCTGCCAACTAATCACTAGATGACACAAACGGAACACAAATTTCCTTGGACTCAAGTTTTTCCTTAATGAAGTGTCGGTCAATTTCAACATGTTTGATGTGATTATGCTGGAATAAGTTGTAAGCAATGTTAATGACAGCCTTGTTATCACAAAATAACTGCAGGGAAGAGGAGACTGTCATGCGAAGTTGGTGGAGCATGATGAGTAACCAGAGAGCTTCACAAATTTCTAGAAATAGACTGAAATTCAGCTTCAACGCTGCTCCACGCAACTACAAACTACTTTTTACTTTTCTATGCGATCAGGTTTCTCCACACAAATGAGCAGTATCCTGAGATATATTGTCGATCATAGACAGACACAACCCAAATGTGTCTGTGTAAATTGCAATAGAATGAGAGGTATGGAGGAAAACAAAAAAATCTGAGTCTGATGTGCATTTTAAATAGTGGAGAATATGAAGGAGAGCTTGGAGGTGGTGCTCATAGGGATCATGCATTAATTGTCTGACCATTCCAACTGCGTGGCATATGTTGGGACGAGTATGGGCAAGGTACATGAGTTTCCCCACAAGACGTTGGTAGTGAGTCTTGTTTACAGAAACAATATTGAGAACATTAAAAAGTTTTTCATTGGGATCCATCATGACAACCACTGGTTTGCATAGGAGAAGATTGTTCTCTGTCAAAACATCAATCATATATTTCCGCTGAGACAGACAAATACCATGAAATGACCAAGTAACTTCCAAACCTAAGAAGTACCGAAGAGATCCCAAATTCTTCATTTCATAAGAGTGGCAAGGACGCCTTACAGAGTCTCCAATGTTGACAAATCATTATTTTAGAGAACAATATCGTCAACATAGACAATAAAAATGGCTACCTGGCCGCTGGAGGAATATCGGAAGAAAATACCGCAGTCCGATTGAGTCCGAGTGAATCCATGACCTACCACTCCTTTGTGAATTTCTCGAACCATGCCCGTGATGATTCTTTCAATCCATAGAGAGATTTTTGCAGTCTACATACTTGGCCTTAGAATACAGTGTAGTCAAAGCCTAGAATAAGATTCATATATGCCTCTACTATAAGCTTGTCATTCAGGAGCGCATTCTTGACATCAAGCTAGAATAAGGGTCAATCCAAAATCACAATAAGGGATAAGGGGACCCGAATGGTGTTTCATTTAGCAACTGGAGCAAATGTCTTCTCATAATTAACTCAATGGGTCTGTGAGTACCCTTTTGTGACCAAATGTGTCTTATTGAGTTCAAAGGATTCATTACATTTAAACATAATGCTAAAAAAATACATCGGCATCCCACTATTTTCTTGCCCCTAAGAAGATCAACAATGTCCCAAGTATAGTTCCGCTTAAGGGCATTCATCTCGTCCATAAAAACAACTTTCCAGGTTGCGTCTACTAAGGAAACCTCAACAGTAGATAGAAGATGATGATTGGTCAAGACCGTAACAAATGCTCTATAGGTTGGTGATAATTTATGAAAAGAAACATAGTTTGCCACGGGATAAAGAGAGCATGTTTGATTGCGTACCTTACTAGAGAAACGGACTTCCTCATTTGGAGTAGAAATAGTGTTTGGGATGTCTTTTGGAAAGGATTCAGGGTCCAAAAAGGGGTTAGCGAGCTTCAGAGTAGAAGCAGCACAAGAACGAGTGTGTCAAGTATAGACAAGGAGAAGTGAAGGGTGTGCTGGTGGAACCAAAGAAACAAAGGGCGGGCTCCTTGGCGATAGAAGTGGGTGGAAGCAAAGGAACAGAGAGTTCCTTGATGATAGGTGACGTGGGGGGGACATCCATAAGAGGAGAGCAAGGAATAATGTCCAAGAACTCTAACTCCCACTCACTGGAGGCTGAGGTAGGAAATTAGGGAACATTTTCAAAAAACAAAAAAACATCAACACTCACATAGACCTTATTTGTGTTAGGGTCAAGACACTAATACCCCTTTTGAGTGGCAGAGTATCCCATGAGAACACATTTTATGGATCTGGGATCAAGTTTACTCTGAATTGGGGCTGTGTTCTGAACAAAGGTTGTGCACCCAAAAATTTTGGGATCTAAAGTGGAGAAGGCCCAATTGTTAGAGAAGCACGATCTCAAGACAACTAAAGAGGTACGGAAGTTGTGAATTTTTTATGTCATCGTTGCCTTCCCAACGAGCTTTAATCGAACAGTAAAACGAGGGATCATGGAACAAATGTCCTAAACGAAGAAGGCGCAGATGCATTCTAAGCGGTTCGACGCCATTGTCGTAGACATAGCCAAATCCGAAGCAGATGATACAAATAGTGTCGTTCGTAGCAGGAGAAAACTAGACGAAACCTAAATGCGCTCGAGTCGATCGAGTTCGTTCGTTGCAGGAAGAAGATGACGTTGTCGACACTATTTTTGGTGTGGGGTTTGCCCGTAAGAAGCTGTCGGTCATCGGAATTGAAATCCCGTTGCCCGCTTCAGAAGAACGTTTTTTTTTTAAAAAATTTTATTTTTGAAAAAGATGAAGTCAAACTGACCCCATAATTTTCATAGTTTAG